GGCACGTGGGTTCTGTGAAGGAAAACTCCAGGCCTCAAGGGATAGGGGATGGGCTGGTCCCTCTCATCCCACCCATCCCCATGGACCCTGGAGGTCACGCCCACAATCTGCCTCCGGCTGCCACTCAAGTTCCTTAATGGCCATGATCCAGAGACAAACGAAAATTCTCTAAATTGAGCAGTTTGCTGCAGAGATTTCTCCAGACCCTAATTATCTAAAGTTTTAGAATTCCAGGAGGCACGGCCGGGACATCTTATGCTATTCATAACAAGCAATACAAAAGAGAGTATGGGAGAGATTGTCTGTCATGGGGCACTAGGGACTTTGTGGAAGATGTGCACTGGTGGAGGATTGGGTGATTGATTATTGTATGACTGAAACTCAAACAGGAAAGTTTTGTGACTATCTCACGGTGATTAAAAAATAATAATAGGGGCCGGAGCGATAGCACAGCGGGTAGGGCGTTTGCCTTGCACACAGCCGACCTGGGTTTGAACCCCGGCATCCCATATGGTCCCCCAAGCACCGCCAGGAGTAATTCCTGAGTGCAGAGCCGGGAATAATCCCTGAGCATCGCTGGGTGTGACCCAAAAAGAAAAATAATAATAATAATAATAATAATAATAAAATAAAATTAGCATTCTGAATTTAAAAAATTAATGTGGAGCTCATGCCCAATTCAATCAGCTTAATCAATGGCTGAATAAATAGCAGTACTCCTACATTAAAAAAAAAAAACCCTGCACATTCTGCATTTTCTTGCTACAAGGAGAACTTAAAAAAACAAAAGGATAACTTTCAAAAAGCCGTTTGGGGGGCTGGAGCAATAGCATAGCGGATAGGGCATTTGCCTTGCATGCAGCCAACCCGGGTTCGATTCCCAGCATCCCATATGGTCCCCCGAGCACCGCCAGGAGCAATTCCTGAGTGCATGAACCAGGAGTAACTCCTGTGCATGGCCGAGTGTGACCCAAAAAAGCCGCTTGGAGGGTCTGAGAGACAGTACAGCCATCAGGGTGCTTTGCCTTGCATGCCGCCAACAGAGTTCGATTTCCGGAAGCCTAGGTGGAGAACCAGGAGCAAGCCCAGAGCACCACAGTGTGACCCCAAACAAAGACATTTGGAAACTAGAAGTGAGTTTTAGTCTATTCTGTTTGTTTGTTTGCGGGGGGGGGGGGGGGGATGTTGGGCCATACCAGAGGTGCTTGGGAGTTTCTCCTGAACTCATGCCCTGCTGTGACTCCCGGTGTGTTTGGGGGACCCTCTGCAGTGTCAGGGCACACACCAGGGTTGGCAAGTAAGCAGCACCTGAATTCCTGAATTCTCCAGTCCTCTGCACTTTTTTAAATTTAAGTTTTAATTTTTTTGTGGGGGGAGCCACAGTCAGCGATGCTCAGGGGTGACTCCTGGCTCTGCACTCAGGAATCACTCCTGGCGGTGCTAAGGGGACCGTATGGGGTGCCAGGAATTGGACCCAGATTGGCGGTGTGCATGGCAAATGCCTGTGCTATCGCTCCAGCCCCTAATCTTTAATTTTTTAATTCACTCACTTTGCTTGCACTCTTTTTTTCTTTTTGGGTCACACCCAGCGATGCACAGGGGTTACTCCTGGCTCCGCACTCAGGAGTTACTCCTGAGGGTGCTCAGGGGACCATATGGGATGCTGGGAATCGAACCCGGGTCAGCCATGTGCAAGGCAAACGCCCTACCCGCTGCGCTATCTCTCCAGCCCCTGATAAAAATTATTGATGAGTGAAAATTTGTTTCAAGTTCCAAACTCACTGGAACTTATTTTCTCGGCTGTTCCCATTGAGGTGACCTGTCCAGATTTGTCATGACTTTGTGATTTACACGTTTAACAACCTAACCATCTCCACTCAGTTCCTAGAATGAGTTCTTGCTTCTAATTTCCACTTCAAGCTAGGGAAATTGTGTATGGTGAGAAGTCAATGCAGGGAGTGACCCAAGAGCCCTAAGTCAATCGTGAGGGCTGAAGAGACAGTACAATGGGTAGGGTGACCCGGGTTTGATCCCCCAGCATCCCATCTGGTCCCCTGAGCATCACCAGGAGTGATTCCTGAGTGCAGAGCCAGGAGTCACCCCTGAGTATCACTGGGTGTGACCCAAAAACAAACAAAAGAAAAAGTCAATGGTGAAATGATAAAAGGTAAACTACTGACTAGCACTTGGCTAAAAACCCACCTTGAATTATTGATAAATGAATGTTCTGTGTGCACTAATTATATAGTTTCATATCCTTTCTTGTCTTTATCCTTGTCCGGAACCGACAGACGCTTTTAAATTAAATGGAATTTAGGACACATCTTCAGGGTCATTTTGCAATGCAGATACAAAGGGAGTCAGAGGCTCAAAGGGAAGCTTTGGGGGTGGGGAGGAGGAGGAGGACGTTTCTCAACCACTGAGAGAACTGGCCATTCAGCAAATTCTTGGCAGAGCGATCACTCAGCAGATTGGACGGTGATGAATTACTCTGAGCAACAGCAGACCAGCCCCTATAAATGGGAGGCTGAGTGGAAGGGTGCTGAGTCTGTGCTAAAATAACATGGGGGAGGGGCTGGAGAAATAGCACAGCGGGTAGGGCGTTTGCCTTGCACGCGCCTCACCGGGGTTCGATTCCCAGCATCCCATATGGTCCCCCAAGCACCGCCAGAGGTGACTCCTGAGTGCAGAGCCAGGAGTAACCCCTGTGTGTCGCTGGGTGTGACCCAAAAAGCAAATAAATAAATAAATAAGATCCAATCTCCTCCACCCCGTATAGTCCCTGGAGCCCCGCCAGGAGTGATCCCTGAGCACACCCAGGTGTAGCCCCAAGCTCAAACCAAACAAAATGAAGGTGGGTCTCTAAGGTTGGCTGTCACTGTCCTCCAGTTGTTCATCGATTTGCTCGAGCGGACCCAGTAACATTGTGAGACTTGTTACTGTGTTTGGCATATTGAATACGTGACAGGTAGCTTGCCAGGCTTTGCCGTACGGGCGAGATACTCTCGGTAGCTTGCCGGGCTCTCTGAGAGGGTGGAGGAATGAAACTCAGGTCAGTCATGTAGGCTGCGTGCAAGGCAAATGTCCTACCCGCTGTACTATGGCTCCAGCCCAAGGTTGGCTATTCCTCTCTTTTATGATAGAGCGTCTCAAAATTTAGGAGACAGAGGGGTGGCATGGGGAGGGGTTGGGAGGAAGCCTTGGCAAGAAGATGGGACCAGGGGCCCAAAGCACAGACAAGGGCTGTGCAGGAGGGGCTAAGGTCTATGGGGAGTCTGAGAGCAGACAGATGGATGCATGGACGGGCGGGTGGATGGATGGACGGATGGAAGGGTGGTTGCTTGTTCCACCTTAAGGTCTCTTTCTCCATGTCATGAAAGCATTGTGATGCCTTCAAATCCCTCCCAGCCAGCTGTGCCCCCTCAGTGATGAAGGATGGGTTTTACCAGGGACTGGCTGGTGACTGACCAGCCTCCCCTAAAGCTTTCCTTGAAGGTCAGGCCAGGAAAGTCAAAAGGACATCCAGGAAATATGGGAGGGGTCCAGTAAGGGTCCTGGAGCCTCAGAGCCATCAGAGAGAACCATGCCTGGGGCTTCCAGGGGAGAATCCTGTCCCAAATGTTCCAGAGGAAGAGAATATGTGGGTGTGGCATCTCTGGGCCCAGGGTCTCCTGACACTGGACCCTACAGTCTCTGGCAGCCGGGGCTGGCACACAAACCCTCTGCACCAAGCTGTTCTCCCTGGGGGTGTGCATCTCCTGCACACCAGACATAGCTGGGGACCTCTCCCCCACCCCGAAAAGTCCACTGCTCTCCTGCAGCCTTACGGAGTACCACCTCACCAGGAAACGGTAAGGCCCGCACTTCCTCTAACTCATCCAGCATCGAAAGACCAACTGACTCTAGGGGTTTCTGGGATCGCTAACAGTCCACCCAAGAGATCAGCAAATAGTCACATGAGCTAGAATGGCACCGAGGTCAATGCTCTGGTGACAAGCGAGCAGAGTGACAGATCTCAGGTTGCAACTCTTTCCCACCCCTTGGGGTCCATTCCTGCCACGCCTGCCAGGCGACCTGGCATCATGGAGGTTGGTGTAGGGGATGTACCTCTGGGAGAGATAGCCCATTTTATTTGTGCATCGTCACTTGGTCACAGGATACTGGGCCCTAAAGGAGATGAGTAGATGAATGGGTGGGTGGGTGGAAGGTTGGATGGATGGATTGGATAGATGGGTGGATGGACGGTTGGGAGGGCTGTGGCATGCATGGGTGAGTGGATGGAAGGAAGGGTGGGATCATAGGGTGGGTGGGTGGGAAGGAAGATGGATGCATGGATGGGTGGATGGACAGATGAATGCATGCATGGGTGAACGGGAGAGTGGATGGATGGATGGATGGATGGATGGATGGATGGATGGATGGATGGATGGATGGATGGATGGATGGATGGATGGGTAGTTGCATGGACAGGTGGGTGGATGGATGGAAGGGTGGTTGCATGGACAGGTGGGTGGATGGATGGAAGGGTGGATGCATGGTTTGGGTGGGTGAGTGGATAGACGAATGCATGGATGGATGGGTAGACAAACGGATGCATGGGTAGGTGGGTGGACGGATGGAAGGATGGACGCATGGGTTGGGTGGGCGAGTGGATTGGTGGACGCATGGATGAGTGGGTAGGCAGATGGGCGGATGTTGCTTGCACGGGCAGATGGAACGAATGGATGAATCAGCGCGTAGGCCGATGGATGAGTCCACGTGGAGCAGTACATGGCACGCGGGCCCACCTCACCGGGTCTCCTGGCCAAGCCCCTCCCTAAGCTTCCCGGGGGAGCGCGGGCCGGCTCCAGGCCTCCCCGCGCCCGCCCCGCCCCGCGCCGCGCCGCGCCGCCCTCTGGGAAGTGTAGTTCGCGCGTGCGCACGCCGGGCTCCGAGGCCGAGTGGTGTCCGGGCGGAAGTGGGGCGGCCCGTCCCGGGGCCGGCGCGGGGGGCGGGCGGGACGCGCCGCCCTCGCCCCGCCCCTGCGCCCCCGCCCCCAGGTGGCCGCGCCGCGGGGCCGGGGACAGAGGCGGACGCTGCCGCGGGCCGCGCCGGAAGCCGAGCCCGGCTGCGTCCGGGGATGGCGCGCCAGGTAAGGGGCGCGGGGCGCGGGCGGGAGCCCGGCACCCTCCAACTTTGGGGGCGGGCGGGCCCGGGGCGCGGGGGCGCGTGCGGGACCAGTCGCGACCCGGGACCCCCACCCCCCACCCCCGGGGGACCCGCGGGAGTGGCGCCCCGCCCCGCCGGGACCCCCGCAGCCCCTCGCGCGCGCGCCTCCCTTTATTCCCAGTTACCCGGCGAGCGGGGGGCTTGGAGGCCTCGGGGGAGGGGTGGGGGGGCGAGCGGTCCTGGGACTTGCAGCCTGGGGGGCTCCTAGCCCCGAGCGGGGGTGGGCGGCCAGGCCGGGGGCCCCCCCGAGGCCTCCCCCAGATGGAGGGTGTGGACCCCAGAGCCGGGGGGCGGCCTGCCGGGGGCTGTGGGGGAGGGGGCTGGCCGTTCCCGCGGGAGCGCCCCTGGAACTTGTTCTGTGATCGGGGGCGTCTCTGGGACCAGCCCCAGCCTCGGGGGGTCGCGGGGGCCCGCCGTGTGGCTCGCACTCCCCGCGCTCCGCCAGCCCCTTCCCTGCAGCTCCGGCCAGCCCCGGCCACGTCCCCTGCGCCCACACCGCGCCGTGCGCCCTGATCCTGGGCAGCGCGAGATGTCCAGGAGAAGGCCAGGACGCACCAGCAGGGACAGGGGCCGGAGGCCAGCGCGGCGCCCAGGAGCACAGCCTGCGGGGTCAGGCTAGGGAGCCCAGAGCCCTTGGAGACGCGTCCTGTGGACACTGGAGCTGGGGTGACCCCTCCGCGCTGGGGACGCGCAGGAGAGAGTTTTAGGAACACGGCAGCTCCCTTTCCACCAGTGGGCCCAGAAAGCTGGTCTCCTGTCTTTCCTTTCTTTCCTTGGGATTTTGGACCACACCTGGCAGTGCTTGGGGACTCCTAGCACGGTGCTCAGAGCGCCATGGGGTGGCAGAGACAAGCCCAGGCCTCCTGCATGTGAGTGAGGCAGCCCCTGTGGAGGCTGGGACCCTCTCCAGCCGGTCCACCCCTTCCCATTGGACTGCGTCATGGAAGAGTTTGTCTTTGAACGGGGAGCGAGGTGGCGCGGCCTTCCAGATGCCTGACAGCCCTGGGTATATTTAGCTGGGAGATAAAGAGGCCCCGGGCCCGGATGTGTGTGGAAGGGGCTGCTCTGTGCCGCGGAGGGCAGTTCAGACCTGCAGGTGACCTGAGGCGGACAGTTGGCCGTGGTACCTCGTGGCCCTTAACGTCCCACCGTTTGCTCCGGGCATGTGGCTCCAGACACCCGTTTCCCTTCCCCTGAGGCGGGCTGTTGGGACCCCAGTTTCTGGGTGAGTTTGCCCAGAGGACGGCGCTTCAGCAGCCCGGCCCCCTGGCCTGCCCTGTGTCTGTGTCCAGCGCTTGGGAACTGCATGTCCAGCCAGCAAGGAGGCCCCAGAGGGTGATGAGCGGCTGGGTTCGGCTCTGCCCTGTGCTGCCCGTCTGTGCTCTCCAGTCCTCAAAGGTGCTACAGTCCGAGCCCTGGGGAAAAGGTGGAGAATGGTGACCAGCATCTGGTCACCATGTGGCTGTTCCGCCCAGGCCCCACCAGCCCTGCAGCTCTGGACACACACAAACACCTTGCTGGGGAGGTTTCTGGATGCTGGTCCTTGACCTGCGAGATCTGGGCTAAGGCGGGTCTGGCAGGATGCAGGGGGAGCCCTTGAAGTCGAAAGTTTTGACGGGGAAGTCCTGTGTTTTTCAGCCCCGAGGTAGTGAGTGCTGAGGACGTGGGGTGTCCCGCACCCCATCTCTCACTGCTGTGAGATGCCCCTTTGGGAGCAGTGTAGATGCTCCCACGGAGCCAGCCCTGCCCCCGCCCCTTAGTGGGACAGCAGGGTCCTGTCCCATGCCCCAGCCCGCTGGTCCGTCTCTGGAGGAGCTGCCTGGTGTGGTGATGCTTGAGCTGGTTTGCACAGACCTCGCTGGGTGTTGAGGATTTTTTTTTCTTTTTGGGTCACACCCAGCGATGCTTAGGGGTTACTCCTGGCTCTGCACTCAGGAATCACTCCTGGCAGTGCTGGAGGACCCTGTGGGATGCCGGGGATCGAACCAGGGTCGGCTGCATGCAAGGCAAACACCCTGCCTGCTGTACTATTGCTTTGACCCTCGTGAAGATTTTTAAAAACAGGATGTTCAATGCTTGTTTTCTTCTCTTTTTTTTTTTTTTGCCTTTTTTTTTTTTTTTTTTCAGTTTTTGGGGGCCACACCTGGAGGTGCTCGGGGCTTACTCCTGGCTGTGTCCGGGATCACCCTTGGCAAGGTTCAGGGGAGCCTCTGGGACGCCAGGGATGGAACCCATGCTGGCCGCATGCAAGGCAGGCGCCCTCCCTGCTGTCCCAGCACTCTGGACCACATGCGTGTTTTCTTCTGCACAGTCATTGTAACCAGAGCCTTTGGTGTTGGCCCCCGGGCGTCTGTCCACGCTGCGTGCAGAGACCATCCACGCTGCGTGTGGGGACTGTCCACGCTGCGCACAGGGACCATCTGCTCATGCTGCAGGCAGGGACATCTGTCCATGCTGTGGGTAGGGACTGTCTGTCCACAGTGTGCAGGGACTGTCCACACTGCATTCAGGAACCATCTGTCCACGCTGCGGGCAGGGACTGTCTGTCCACACTGTGGGCAGCTCTGTCAGAACCGCCATCCCTCCCCACACTCACAGTCAGGCCAGCAGTGTGAGGGGCTAGCTCTGTCCTGGGGTCACGGCTGGGCCACGTTCCCTTGAGAGAGAGAGATTGGGGCAGGTTCCCTGGTACCTGATGTCTTCTAGAAGGGCACTTCCCCGCCAGCGAGGAGGGCCAGGCAGGAGGAGGACAGAGCGGAAACACAGGGACTTGGAACAAAACTTGGGCCTCACAACCACTCATGCAACCCTGTCCTGCGTGGATGCCCCCCTGCCCCAATCGCCGTCTGCATGGACTGTAGCTGCCATCTGCATGCGCTCAGGATCCAGGGCGGGCGCAAGAGTGCCCAGCTCTGCAGCCAGGTGGCATCCCCGCCAGGGTCCCTCTCGCCCGCCATGTGGGAAGATTCTAGAAGGGAGTTTGGAGAGGGTGTGGGGGCGGAGCAAGGCAGGTGCTGTGGACGGGGAAGGGTGCTGCCCTAGGCAGGAGGGCATCCTCTGGCCTGTGTGTGGGTGTCATCACGGCGGGCATTGGCGCCCAGGGCTCGCCCACCGGGACCCCCTTTGGGTTCTCTCCCCACCACGCGCCGGACAGCCAGAGGGAAAGGGGTGCTGGGGGGATTATGGAGGTGCGAGCAGGCCTGGTCAGAGGGCGCTGCCTGCCGAGGGCCGTGGGTGGCCAGGGACACACCCTGGGCCCCTGTGACCTCGGGGCCCCTGACTTGGGCAGACCCGGGAGGTCCCATGGGTGCTGGGGGTGGCAGCCATCGTGGTGCCAGGTGGCTGTGGTGACCGCTTGGATGTCGGGCTAGAGCTGAGATGGCAGGGGCCAATGTCAGCCATCTTGGGAGCGTCCCCTCATGGCCCTCAGAGGCCAGAACACACTAGGACCCCCCAAAGTCTCTTTCGCCTTCCAGGACCCTGGGATGGGGTGGGGGGGTACGCTCTCCAGGACCCTGCTGTCCTGGGGTGCCTCTCGAAGCCCAGCCTAGGGTGGGTGGGGGCAGGACTGAGCCCAGAGGGGCCCCGGGGACCCCCACTGTCCTGTCTGCTGCAGAGGCCCCTGGGGATGTATGTGGGGAGAGGGGGAAGCCCCCGAGGCCGGGAAAGAGGACGGGCTCAGCCCAGCCTGGGGGTCCAGCCCACGGCCTCTTCCCTGGCTGTACGGCCAAGGGTCCCCTGGGGTGTGGATGGGAGCTGCCGGGACTGGGGGACGTGTGACCGCCACAGCCATGGTCCTGCTGTGGGCACCGTGCAGTGGCCTTTGTCCCTGGTCCCCGTCGCTCACTGGCGACCTATTTTGGTGCTTTGGGGCTGGCTGGTAGGTGGGTGGGTGGGTGGGTGGATGCCGCCACCGATTGATTCTGGGGTCAGGGGGATGAGGAGGGGGTCCGCGGGGCCGAGCCCCTCCGCCCGCCCCGCCTGGTCTCGGCAGAGCCCCCTCCCCGCCCCCTGCCCGCAGGTGCCCATCGCCTTCGGGGACCTGGCCGTGCGCTTCTCCCCCGACGAGTGGCGGCTCCTGGGCGAGGGCCAGCGGGAGCTGTACCGGGACGTGATGCGTGAGAACTACGAGACGCTGGTCTCTCTGGGTGAGCCCCGAGGAGGGGGAGGAGGGTCCCGCTGGGGGCAGGGGTCATGCGCGAGGATGACGAGACCAGTGGGTGAGCCTGGGGGAGGCGGCGGGGGGGTGGTCAGGCTTCGACGGTCCCCCCTGCTCCCCCAGGGACGTCCGAGCGGCTCCCTCTCTCTGCCTTCCTGTCCCCCACGGAGCCCAGAGGAGTCCAGGGCGCCCGCACCCGCCTGGACAATGGGCAGGTACCGCCCGGAGGTGAGTGGGCTGGGCAAGGCGGGGGTGGGGGGTCACCTCGAGAGGGTCCCGGGTGCGAGTGGGCTCACCCCGGCCTCCCCGCAGGCGCCGCCCGGCACAGCCTGCCCCTCAGCGCCCTGGTGCAGCTGGTGAGGGAGATCCCGGAGTTCCTGTTCGGAGGCGCAAGCCCCGAGGGCGGGGAACAGGCCAGCCCCGAGGGTAAGTGCCCCCCCCCCAGTTCAGGGTCCTGCAGGGGTGTCCCCGTGGTGGGGGTCGGGGGGCGCCTGGGTGGTGTGGAGCGTGACCCCTGTGGCGAGCCGGGACCCCCTCCCCACGTCCCGGCAGTGCCCGTGGGGTCCAATGCAGGGGGACAGGCGTCCCAGTTGGTGCTGGCAGGGCCCTGACCCCGGCCCCTCTGCCTGCCCACAGCGGCCGAGATGGCCGAGGGGACCGTGAGGACTGCGGGGACGGGCCTCCCGCCCGGCTGCCTCCCGGACGCCTTCGAGGGTCGCCCCAGCCTGACCGCCACGCCCAGCGGCAGCTCCTCATCCAGCGACCTGCCTGGAGCTGGGGGCCAGGGGAGCCCCCGCCCCCTCAGTGAGTGCCCCCCGCCCCGCCACCTGCTCTGTGCGCGTGACCCTGCTGAGCCCGGGTCCGAGGAATCCACCCAGGGAACAGAAGGGACAGCGGCCTCTCGGGGCCTGGTGTGAACACTCGCCAACGTCTGGGCCGGCCCCGTGCTTGGGGGTCTGCAGTCTGCAGTGGGCGCCCACTGTGCCGGGTCTGGGAGCCAGGGAGGTCACCTCGGGACCCGCAGCTGACTCTGAAGGACTCAGGGAGGGTCCCCCACCCCCGCCCCCATCCCCAAGGCGCTGCGTGGGGGCCCTGGGTCCGGACTGGAAGGCTGTCCCTCTCGCCCGTGCAGAGACCGGGGATGCGGCATGTCCACGCGACAGGGACGGTGCAGAGGTGCCGCCCAGGGAGCCTAGCCCGGGCCGGGGACCCCTCAAACTGGAGGCCTGGAGCCCGGGGCCAGGTGAGCTGCTCTCCTGGGGGCTCCGTGGTGGGCGGGAGGGAGGGAGGGAGAGAGGAAGGGGTCACCCGTCCTCACGGGACCCCTGTGCCCCAGGGCCTGTCCCCTCAGCGGGCAGCAGCCCCCTGCAGGGGCTCATGAACTGCCTGAAGGAGATCCTGGTGCCCCTGCCGCCCACGGCCACCCGCAGCGCACGGCCCCTCGGCCCCACGTACTCCAGCAGGACGGAGCCAGGGTCTGGGAGCCCCCCTGGGGGAGGTGAGCCGGAAGCCCCTCTCTGGGAACTAGAGGCTGCCATGTGGTGGGGGAGGGGGAGCCCCTGGGGGTCAGCTGGGAGGGAGGCTCACGTGGGCTGAGTCGCACCCTGTCGCACCAACAGCCCGGTGGGCCCCGTTGGGAAGGTTGGGCAGTTGTGGGTTTGGGTTAAAGGCCTCTTGCGGGGCCTAGAGAACCATCTAGAAGTTCCCCCTCTGCGCCCCTCCTTCGCTCTGTCCAGTTCCAGGGCGCCCGCAGGCCGGCGTGGCCAGCCCAAGCCCAGAGAAGCCAGTGGCCTGTGCCCGCCAAGCTGAGCCCAGGACCCCGCCGGCCCCCACACTGCCCCCTGTAGTGGGCCGCAAGGACCCGGGACCACCGGCCCGTGATGGTGGCGTCTTCCCTTTGCCTGTTGTGAAGACCGAGGCTGCACCCGTGGACTGTCCCCTGCGGGGGCTGCTGAACTGTTTGCGGGAGCTCCCTGAGGCCCAGGGCAGGCGCCCGCTGCCGTCGGAAGAACCCGGGGCCTGGAGGAGGAACGCTGGAGGTACAGACCCCCCTGCGGGAACCCCCCGGGCGGGGGGTGGGCTCCTCCACTCGCTTCCGGCTCCAGTTCTGAAAGGGGGCACGGGGTGGGCAGGAGGGGGCCTGGGCAGCCCTGTCCCGGTCCCCTAAGCCATGGGGGGCTTCCCGCAGGCCTGGGCCCCCCCGCGCCCCCCGCCGGAGCTGGGCTGTCCGTGGTGAAGGTGGAGGGCGGCTGGACCGCGAGCCCGCCCGTGCCTGCGTCCTGTCGGCTCAGCAGACAGAGCCCCTCGGCCGCCAGCAGCCCAGGGGGCCGTGTGGCCCCAGGTGAGGCCTGCGGGGGTCCGGCCGGGTCCCCAAACCCCTACCCCTCAGCGGAGCGAGGCCCGGCCGGGGATGTGCCCGCGGTGGTGATGGGGCCTCTCCCCTGTCCCAGCCGGCAGTGCCTCGAGCTCGCCCCTGGACGCCCTGGAGGCCTGTCTGAAGGGCATTCCCCTGAGTGGCTCGTTACCTCCCCAGCCGCCCGCCGCCTGGTTCCCGAGCCCCCCACCAGGAGCCCCCGGGTCTCCACGGCCCGAGCTGCTGCCCCGAGGAGCACGCGGGGAAGGTAGACGGGCGGGTGGGGGGGTGGGGGTCGGGGGTCCCCTCTCCCCCTCCTCCTCTTCCTCCTTCTCCCCCCCTTCCTCCTCTTCCTCGTCCTCCTCCTCCTCTTCCTCCCCTTCCTCCTCTCCCTCCTGGGATCCTGGGAGCTCAGCCCCTCTGCACTAGGCAGGGGGGCCCCCTGCAGGTCCCCTGGCTCCTGACACAGCTGCACCCCCCCCCAACAGAGCTGACCGCCTCCCCGGCCCTGGGCCTGCAGACCCTTGCGCGGGACGGCCCCCTGGGCACCCCCACCAGCTTCTCCTCCTCCAGCAGCACCGACGGGGACCTGGATTTCCAGAGCCCCGAGGGCAGCCAGGGTCGCCTGCCCGGGAAAGGTGAGAGGCGGGGAGAGATGGGGAGGGGGCTACCCCCCCGTCTGGACCTCGACGGTCCGGGTCCTCACCTAGCAGAGGTCACGCTCCTTTTTTTTTATTTTTTTATTTTTTTGTTTTTGTTTTTTGGGTCACACCCGGCGATACTCAGGCCTTCCTCCTGACTCTGCACTCAGGAATCACTCCTGGAGGTGCTCAGGGGACCCTATGGGAGGGATGCCAGGGATTAGAACTCAGGCTGGCTGCGTGCAAGGCAAACGCCCTCCCCGCTGTGCAATTGCTCCGACCCCAGAGGTCACACTCCTGACGATGAGGACATCCCCAGTGTCCCAGCCCTCGTCCCGGCCACCCGAAGAGGGAGGTCCCTGCCCCCACACTGACCCCGACTGGGGCCCTGGAAGGCCACATCTTCCCTGTCACAGGCTGTTGCAGCAAGGGTCCTGTGGGTTCTGGGACAGAACTGTCACCTGCCAGGGGCCCAAGCGAGAGGACCGCTGGGAGGCACTGGCCTTCCCGTACGGTCCCCTGAGCCCAGGCCAGGAGTGAGCCCTGAGCCTCGCCAGGTGTGCGCCCCCCAGACGACCAATAAAAATAGACGCTTCCTGCCCAGCTTGCCTGAGCTCCGCGGGTGTCCAGCAAGGACCGGCCAGCCGGAGCCGGCCCTGCCCTCTTGTGCCTGGGTCTGATGGGGCGGCTCTGCGGGTTCTGATGGCATCTGTGTCACTCTCCTACCCCCGAGTTCAAGGCTCGGAGACGGCCGCTTTGCTCCCCTCCCAGGGCCACCACTGAGCTGCTGGGCAGGCTGAGGCTGTCCTGGGCGCTGGTGGGTGGCACTGCCTCCAGCTGGGTGCAGGGGCTGCAGGCAGGGGGGCCGGGGGCACCCAGCTGGAACCCGCGGGGTCTTTGCAGGAAGCCCGGTGGGTAGCTCCCCGCTCCAGGGCCTGGAGAACTGTCTCCGCGACATCCCCGCGCCCAGGCTGCGGCCGGCCTGGTCCTGGTCCTCGGCGGCGGCGGACAGGGCACCCCGGAGAGCAGAGCCCAGGAACTGGGGCGCAGACAGGGAAGGTGAGTCGGGCTCGCCCCCCCTCCCCCGTGGGTCTGCCCCTCCACGTCCTCCCAAGCAGCCCGTGACGGGCGTGTTGGCTTCCCGTTGGTACAGGAGCAAGAGGTGAGGCCGGCGAGGCAGCCCATCTCGCCCAGCGAGCCCGGGACCCTCCCCCCAGGAGCCTGCGGCCGGCCAGCCCGCCAGCCCTGGTCCCCGCCTGCTGTCCACGCGGCGCCAAGGAGCCCGGGGTCCCGCGGGGGCTGCCGTGGAGGTGGCCGCCGGAAGGTGAGCTGCATGCCTGCCTCGCAGTGGGGGCGTTTCTCTCCCGCGTCGGAACCCCTGTGCCCTGGGGCCCGCCCCCCTCCCCATGCCGTCCTGTTGGTCAGGGTCTCTGCTGCAGACCCTTCCCAGACGCCTCCCCAGCCTGGAGCCCCCTCCCTCCTTGCAGCGTGCAGAGCGTTTCTCTGGCCCTCTGCAGTCGGTGGCCTCCCGGGGAGCTTCTAGAAGGTTCCCTGCCTCCCCTGCAGAGTCCCCGAGGAGTGGCCGGGCTCTCGGGCCAGGCACCCAGAGCCCGGGGGCCATCCGAGTGCGCCCTGGGCGCCGTCCACTGCGGGGGGGGGGGGTGGCGGGAGCGTGTCCTCCCGCCTGATGGGCACGGACGGCCCTTGTGCCCTCCGCAGGGGCGCCCAGCCGGCCGTCCCCACTCCGCTGCCTGGAGAACTCGCTGAAGGGGATCCTGCCCGGGCGGCCGCTGCGCTTCGCCTGCCTGGCGGGGCCCAGCCCCAGCCCCAGCCCCGGCTCCAGCTCCAGCTTCAGCAGCTCCGAGGAGGAGCCGCGCCCCGAGCCTGCGCCCTGGCCGCCCCGCCTGCAGGGGGCGGCACCGCCGCCGCCCCGAGACCCGGGCGCGGGGCCGGCCCCCACCCAGCCCCGGGGGACCCCGGAGGACCCGGCGGGGCTGCCCAGCAGCCAGGGCCCAGGCCCGCCGTCACCCACCAGCCACAGCCCCACGGACGGCCCCGGGGGCGCAGGACCCGCCGAGCACAGTGCGCTCGGCACAGGTGAGCCCCTCCACCCGGGGACCGCACGCACCCTCCGGGCAGACGCGGGTCTAGGGGTCCCCCAGTTCCCCTGCAGACACGGGTCTTGGGATCCCCCAGCCCCCCGGATTGGCACGGGCCTCGGGATCTCCACTTCCCAGCGAGCCCCAAGTCCTGGATGTCCGTGGGGGTCCAGGTCGGGGTCGGGACCAACCCCCATGCGGTCCTGTTGGTCGGGTTTGTGCGCGGGTGCGCGCGGGTGACCCTAACCAGGCGCGAACCCGCAGAGGTCTGGAAACTGGGCAGCCGTCGGGGAGCGCGTGGGGCGCACGGGGCAGAGCCCGGGGGCGCGGGCACATACCCACTTCCCGTGTGCCACACTCATGCCTGCCCCGCCCACAGCCGCCCACCTGGAGACGCGACCGGAGCCCGGACCTGCGCACCAAGGATCCACGGCCGCAGGTGCGCGCCCCCGGGGCACCCGGCAGACCCAGGGGAAGGCCCCGCGGGCGCGCACCCAGCCACTGACCAGGTCCGCTCTTTGTTCAGGACACACCACCACCAGCGGGAGGCCACCTCCTCCTCCGGGAAGCCCCCCGCCACCCTCGACCGGCGCCCGGCCGCCGTGCCCGTGCGCGGGCAGCCTGCAGCAGGAGCTCCGCGGCCTCAGCACCGCCCTCTCCGAGAAGCTGGAGCGACTGGCCGCCGCCCTGGCCGGCCTGTCCCAGGAGGTGGCCGCCGTGAGGACGCAGGTGGAGCGGCTAGGGCGGCAGCCACGGGCCCCGGCTCCCAAGACTCGCGCGGCGTGGCGCGCGCCACGCTGGCCAGCGGGCCCAGGACACCGGCCGCTGCCCTACTGGAGACACAGGGGCCCCGCCCGGCCCAAGCCCCGGCTGCTGCGGGGCCCGGCCGGAGACTCGCCGGGCCTGTCCGCCAGCGGCCGGTTCCGCCTGGGCCCCCAGCTGCCCGCGGCCACCGCCCCGGGAGAGCCGCCGGGCCCCAGCGCCAGCCCCTCCGCCCAGCCCCCGCCTCCAGCGTGCGCCAGCGGAACGCACCCCTCCCTCGGACACCCCGGCGGCCCCCGAAGCCCCCCGCCGCCTTCGGTGCCTGCTGCCCCCCAGGTGCCCACGCCCGTGCCCCGCACAGACGCAGACCCGCCGGGCCCCGGCGACCTGCTGGCCGGCGTCCAGAGGGCGCTGCAGGCCGAGCTGTGGGGTAGCGAGCCCCTGGCCCTGCGCTGGGGGTCGCCGGCCCACCGCCTCCACCTGCGCGGGGCCGCAGAGGACGCAGCCCCTCCACGGGGCCACCTGACTCCCGGCCCCGGCCGAACCTTCCCGGTGTCAGGGCCGTAAGGTCACCCCAGGACACTGCCATCACCTCAGGGAGGCCCCGTGGTGGGGTCTTCTGGGCTCAGGTTCCTTGAATGTCCCCGGCCCGGCTGCATTGTCCATTAAAGAAGCTGGTCGCTGAGGGAACAAAGCTCGTGTCTGCGGCTGTCACTGACCTGGAGCCTCTGGGGGCCCCCAGCACCCACAGGAGGGGGTCCCTGCTGGCCTCTCCGTCGCCTGTCTGTGGCCTCAACAGGGTTCTCGCTGCCGCCCCTCACTTAGGGGTCCCCCAGTGCAAGTCCCCATGACCACCTGACTAGGACCCCCTCTTCCCCACACTTGGTCCCCCCCACCCCCAAGGCCATGTGTCCAAATAAGGCCACACTGGGTTGTAGTCAGGGCTAGGTGCTCACTTTGAATGTGGGTCACTTCAGGCCTGAGGGGCCGGGCTGGACCCGAGTTTTTTTCGCCTGAAGAACATGGCCAAGGTCAGCTGGGACCCCGCCAGTCGCTGGGCTCCCCCCTAAAGGTGGCAGTTGGTGGCCCATGGAGACTTGCCCTTCACCCTGGGGCTCCTTTCAGGCTGGATCTCCCACCCAAGAAGGACCTGCTGGCCGTGCTGGTGTGGAGCCGGGAGCCCTGAGGGTTCACAGGCAGTCCTGGGTGACGCCCCGCGGGAAGGAGCTGGTGCTTATGGGATGTGACTGTTTGGGGTCACAGGGACCCCTGCATAGGGTGGGGCTGTGAATCGGCTGGGCACTCGATGGGGCAGACATTGCAGGGGCCATGGGGGCGGGAAGGAGGACGTCTCCCCCCACCCTGACCTTGTCCACTGGACGGGCTGCAGGGCCTGCTCCCAGGAGAAGTGCAGAATGTTGAGTCAGCAGCAGGTCACTGCCTGTGGGACCCCACTCCCATGTGCCCATGGCCAAGCCCGCTGGCCCCTCCTGCCCCGGCAAGAGCACTGGATACCCGTTTCTCCCTGTTTCCCGGGCGTTTTGGGAGAGTATGGAGACCAGGCCCGTGGGGGGAGGCAGTGTGCAGGCAGGGGGCATGGCTCTGCCTTGGGGTGCAGCCCCGGGACACCACCCCTCCCACCGTGAGGCTGCGTGGGCAGGTGCAGGGACCTCAGTGCCTCCCAGTTCATGCCAGGGACCCCTTGATGCACCGGCGCCCCATGGCAGCAGTGAGGCCCTATGCTGGCCCTGACACCCTGTGGTCATGCCACTGACCGGGCGGAAGCTTGAACCTCACTCTCTGCCCTTCACAGTTCCTCTGTGGCTCTTATAGTTGCTCACGGCGCAATTCTATTGATTTTATATATTTTTTTTCTTTTTGGGTCACACCCAGCAATGCACAGGGGTCATTCCCGGCTTTGCACTCAGGAATGACCCCTGACGGTGCTCAGGGGACCATATGGGATGCCGGGAATTGAACCCAGGTCGACCGCATGCAAGGCAAATGCCCTACCTGCTGTGCTATTGCTCCAGCCCCTGATTTTATTTTTTTGCCTGAACATGGCAGGGCTCGCTCAGGTGACAATCAGGGGCCCTGGGCTCATTCCCAGTGGTGCTCAGCTGGGAACCATCAGCCCAATTACACGTACCATGAGTGAAGGGGCGTTTCCTTAATTGCTGTGTGCAGCTGAGGGCATGACACCACACCTGGTACCTTGTCCCCTCACCTGATGCTCTGCTCATGTGTCCTGTGCTCTCTTTCTCTGTCTGTCTCTCTCTGTGTCTCTGTCTCTGTCTCTGTCTCTCTGTCTCTGTCTCTCTCTGTCTCTCTCTCTCTCTCTCTCGTATAAATGTTTTCATCATTCCAGCTTTTCTGTAGCTTCAAATGTTAAAGAGCCAGAAAGGAGAAGCAAGAAGGTGAGGAGGAGGCAGGAGGCAGATCTCAGGAGGCAGGTCTGGGTGAGGGAGGATGGGGAGGGCTGGAGCCAGCAGCAAAGGCCCCCCCCAGGATCCCGGAGCCAGCCACTCCCCTCCGCGGAGACTTGCTGGGCACGGGCTGGCCCCGAGAACAAGCTTAAACAAGTGTTGAAATATTGAGTACAGCGGCCACAGTATTAAAATTCTAGCAGGCAGGCATGATCTTGGTCAGACTTTCAGCTTTTATGTTTTAAATAATGAAAACACTATATATATATATATATATATATATATATATTTACTTTTTGGGTCACACCCGGCGATGCTCAGGGGTTACTCCTGGCTCTGCACTCAGGAATTACTGAATTACTCCTGGTGGTGCTCGGGGGACCATATGGGATGCTGGGAATCGAACCCGATTGGCCGCATGCAAGGCAAATGCCCTACCTGCTTTGCTATCGCTCCAGCCCACTTTATATATTCTTATATATTAAAGTTTTGTTTCAGTCATTCTGCTGAGTGTGAGTGAGAAAATCGAAATGGGGATTAGAAATATTTTAATTAAGAGCACTGCCAGCAAAAACCTTACAGATTAAATCGACATCTGTATTCAGAGACTAACAGGCATTGGAAATGGAAAAAAAAGACCGAGAATTGACTAGAAGGTAATGAGCGGAACTGTAAGGAAATTCTGCATCCAGGGGGGTTGCGAAGAGCCGAAATTTGTGGCAGTTTCTTTAGCCAAGCTGACAAAACTGGCACTTCCGTAATGAAATCATCAAAGACGATCTACCTCAGGCTTCTAGCGCTGTCGGTCACACAGGCTAAAGACACCTGAAGAAACGTCACCGAAAATTTTAAAATTCAAGAGGGCCGGAGGGATAAGTTAAGAGTGGACAGGGCACTTGCCTTGCACAATGTCAAGCCGGGTTCGGTCCCCAGCACCCCAGATGGTCCCCTGAGCCTCCCAGGAGTGGTCCCTGAGCACAGAGCCAGGGGGTAAGTCCTGAGCAAATCTGTCTGTGGCCCAAAAACAAAACTAAAACAGAGACCTGCATGAGTGGAGCCAGAGAGATCGGGCAGAGGCCAAGGAGCTTAACTTGCACAAGGCCAAGCCAGGATTAGTCTGCGGCACCCCATATGGTCCCCAAGTCCTGCAAGAAGTGACCCCTGAGCAGAGCCAGGAATAAGCCCTGAGCACAGCTGGGTGTGGCCTGAATACAAAGGAACAGCAGGCTCAAGAAGAAACAAAAACTAAACCGTTTCATACCATTAAGAGTGCAAGGATGGGGGGTCAGAGCCATAGTACAGCGGGTAGGGCGTTTGCCTTGCATGTGATCGACCCAGGTTCGATCCCCAGTATACCATATGTTTCCCCAAGCACCGCCAGGAGTAATTCCTGAGTGCAGAGCCAGGGGTGACCCCTGAGCATCTCTGGGCGTGGCCCATAAAGCCAAAATAAATAAATAAATAAATAAAGGTGAAAATTTCAGGGGAAGGAGTGGGGGTGGGGAGGGGCATGCAGTTCTCTGGGTGACTCTGGACTTGGGGTACGTGATTGGTATGGTGGAGGTATGCATGGGGGCTATGGGGGGCGCGGCTGTAAGTGTGGTGGCAACTCCCCTCCAGGTTGGGGGTCCATGAATCACCAGCTGAGAATCCTCTGCCCCGCAGACCCCCAGGAAAATGCAGTCTCTGCTCCCATTCCAGCACCTCGGAAATTCTCTCTGACAGCTCATCAATCCTCCGTTCCTGGACCACCTGCCCTCTCCCAGGAAATATTTGCAAGGGGCGGGAAACTTCACATCTGGCGCTCGGGCTGTGGGAGCAGATAAGGGGGCGCCCAGCCGGGGGCGCGTCGGACCTGGGCAGAGCCGCGGGAACTGCATTTCTGAAATTCCTCTGCAGGAGGGGAGAGTCGGGAGCGGCTGGAGGAAGAGAGGGGACTGGGCCCGTGGGCCACGGGGGTCACATCCTGCCTAGGTGCGTCCTCCCCGGGAGCATCCTTCCTGGGCGCTGGCCCCACGCGGGACCGGCCACGTCTCCCCACAGCCGGGGGCCAGCGGGCAGGGGCGGCAGGAACCTCCTCAGGGACCTGCGCGCCCGGTGAGCCCGCCTCGGCTGACCACCCGTCTCATCGCGTCCAGCTCCCCTGGCCCTGAGATCCGGGTGGTTGGTTGGGGAGGGTCGCTCCAGGGTCGCAACTGCAGCGGGTACGGTGTGTGGCGGCGGGCGATGTCCTCCTGGAGTCCGGCCCAGCCCACCTAGACGCTGACCCTCTCGCTGGGGAGCCCCCCAGGCCTAGCAAGCTGCGGACAGCTGCCTAGAACGGGGTGGCCCGCAGGGGGCGCTGCTTGAAGCCTTTTTGCTTGCGTTGAGTTCTGTCTGAGAGGACCCGGGTGGCCCTGCGGCTCTGGGTCCCCCGGAGCTCTCAGGGTGGGAGCAACCACTGCAGGGAGACTGTCCCTCCAGACGGGGGCGGCCGAGTCCAGGCTTCTCAGTTCTGGGTGCAGAGAGCTGGACCTGCGCCCTCCCCAGGGCTCACAGCACCACTGGGACCCGTTCCATCCTTCCTGCCCCATCATCCCTGGCCCCATCCCTCCCAGCCCCATCCTTCCCGGCATGCAGAGCCCAGAGCCCCCCTGGCCTTGGGCCCCTGCCCACGATGATTCATCTGACAGTCTCCCCTGAGACCCTCCGGGGAGTCCTGGCTGTCACCCGAAAGAGGGCCTAGCCAGGAGGGACACCCACAGGAACACTGTGTCCAGTCATCCCAGGGGGGTGGGAGAGAATGATCTAGAACATTCAGGGAAGAGGCGTTTCCCCTGTTCTGCTCTCAAGGTCACAGCTATGAGCTCATGTTCAGGTGAAGGCAAGGTCAAAGCCCATGGACACACCACCAGCCAGTCTTCCCTGTGGGACGTCTCCATTCAGGAGTTTCCCTGTCCTCCTGCCAACACTCACACGTGTCTCACAGGCATACACACACAGCACGCAGGTACACACAGGTGCACACACACGCACGCACATGCACGGAGTAACACGTGCTCATGCCGGCTCTTGCCCACCCCCCTTTGCACACTTCCACCCCTCAGGTGCTATGGTCGGACCCAGCCTTCGTGTTCGGGCTGCCCCAGGGGACACCTGAACTTGCTCTCACACAGCAGCCTGAGGCCGGCTGGCCACCAGACCAGCGCCCATGTCCAGCACTGCCCAGCCCTGCGCCCAGGGACAGCAGGGCCCCGGCCGGTAGGCACTCCAGCTGGGCTGAGATAAGACGGCGGGACTCTGGCAGCT